AATAGCGGTACTAACAGGAACGTCATTAGGTGAATTACTATCAGAATTGGTATAAATATTTCTATCATTAACAGTTGTAACACAGAAGGAAACGAATCATTGTGCATTGGTAGTTCAACGAGCTGTAAGTATAACATCCTTAAAACTTAACACAACAACAAATCAACCTTAGAATATGCTACCTTAAACCAACAGCGGATTTTAGCTGTGGGAAAGAATGATGTAGATGATGCCCAGTAATGCAAGCTTAGCTTGGTTGACATTTTGGCATTTGCAAATTCTGGCCGTTTTGTTGTATTTTCTCAGATGTAATTGAAACTGAGAGCCATCGGCATGTTATTAAAACAGTGTTACGTCGGGCATGCTATATTTTTGTTGAGGTTCGGTTTTAATGTACTAAAAAATGATTTTGATTTTTTTAAAAAGAAAGCCGTAATTTAATGGAGTCGCCGGTGACCGAAAAGCCGGAAACGAACTTCCTGAATTGCAGTCCTACACATTCGTGCCAAGAATGTTGTAATACAAAAAACGAGCTGCGGGACTTTCGAGAAGAAATCGCTTTCCTGTCGCATCAAGTTATCCAGTTAATGCATGTGTTGTGTATCCGCAATTGCCGGTGCAAACGTTGCATGTCGTTCGTTCGGTCATCGTTCGAGACTTCGTTCGACGGTGCCTTCGAAACAGCTTCCCCGACTAATAGCGGTAACCGACACGTGGCTACCATCGATGGCTGTCAGTGTTTATCTGACTTACCTCATTTCAGGGTACACCAGTGAAGATCTGAACTCGTCGAACTTATTCGACAAGAACACCCAAATACGCGCCTTAGCCGTGCTGAACGACGCCTCACGACGATGCCGCAAGCGCATAATCGGTTCTGTCGATCAGCTGCTGCCAAAGATCCTGGCAGAACGCGAATCGTACGCTCCCGTGCCGACTATGGCCAACGCCCAGCACGAATCATCTAATGACGAGAGCGTCTACCTGAACGACGTGCCTGAACTGACCAATGAAGCAGTGGTTGACGACTCGGAACGCGTTGGTCAGCATTACTGAATTTTCCTTTCAGACGAATGATACCAAGTGCTATTTTACAGATGCAAATAGTTTTACGAACGCCGATCACAAAAAAATCGAACTTACAGATCACCATGAAAAAGCGAACACTACGGTAAGATCCATTTCAGTTCCCGGATTAAGTTTCATTACGGTTGTTTTTTGTCGTTATCTGACGTTAAATTTAGTCTTAAGTGTAGGCAGCAGATTAACCCTGGTTTATGATATATATAACAGCTGCTCGTTCGTCAGAACCGGTGGTACAGCGTTGTTGTAAGCTGTTGAAATGAAATTCGTAGCACTTTGCAACGCCAAGTTTCGGGATTGTACATAAGCATTGCGAAAGCGGCTGCTTTTAGAACAACAATCTTCG